CGATTAATTGACGTATTTAATATAATAAATATAAGCTATTTAGTCATGCATATTTATCATTATGTAATATACACCTTAATTTATTTTATCCGTTTTAATTTAGTGGTAAATATAAAGACTATTGATTATGGGCATTTCTAAGCTTTTGATGAAGAAAGTTGCTTGAGAACGTCCTAAGGCTGTTCTAAAATGTAATTCGCTAGTTGCTCGAGTTTTCCAATTAATTAGAATTAAATTAAAATAAATTCTTATAACAATTTCACTGAAAATTTATTGTGTAAAAATGCGAGTTTTAAAATTTCCGCTAGTAACTCTATAGAACAGGTCCGGATTTTTGACTTTAGCAGTTATCAATTTTTTCTAACTGTCTAACAGAGATATCATTAATCTATCAATGTATTTAAACAAACCTATTTATTTAATATTAAGGTTAGCCTTTATTCAATATAACAAGGTGGTGCACCTTCGCCAATGGATCGAATTCGCGCCACAAAGTTTGCTGTGGAATGTGTATCATTCTTAGAAAAACATGCCAAATCTTCTGGACTTTCTGATAACCCAAGGGTTTATACAAAGGACAAAAAGTCTGCTGCTGTTATTGTAATTAATGGTGCACAAGTCGTTTGTACGGTATGATCTATTCATTTAACATAAATACTATAGTACGTTTTTTTAAAACTAAATTATTTGTTAATTTTGTTTTTATTAGCCTGTAACTGATTTGCTATCAGATACCAAGTTTGAGTTTCGTAAAGGTAAGAAGTCGTGGTGGATCAATGTGAAACCTTTGGTGGAATTATTATCAAAATGAGGTAAGATATTAAATATTTTCTTGCTTAGATTTGATTTACAAGGCATAATTTCAGTCAAACGCAACTTTTGGTACAATATTTGTGTGAACTTCAAAAAATATATAAATATACTAATTGGTTTTTAATCATTTCTTGTCTATAGGATACGCGGATAATGAACCAATAGAGGAAGAGATGAATATTCGCAATGATTTTATTAGTTTGGATTAATACAATTTGTTGTATGAGAACCATTTTGCAATATTATTTTTTTTTTTTACTAACTAAAGTTGTATGCCGTAAATCAGCTTAACTAATAATTTACACGCGATTATCATAATTTGTAATATATACGTTTTCGTTATCAATAAATTAAAACCAAATGCTATAAACTATAGATTTAAGAACTATAACATATCGGCTAACGTATCATCCGGTTCATCTTTGTGGTTATCAACGTGAGGCAGATTGGGTTCTGCAAGTGTCTGTAGGTGCGTGTGTCGGCACTTTGCAGAAACCTAGTCAGAATTTATATAACAGATAATAAATTTGTATGCTTATTAATAAAAATTGATGTCTAAATTTTTTATTACCGTATTTTGCGGAATAAAGTACCCTTCGTGCCAAATATTGTAGATCTCCTTTTTGACTGCTTGTTGTATACTAGTGTGACGTGTATTAATTGTGATATTTAATTTTTTATGTGTAAAAAAAATTGCATCACGTAGGTACTTTATTCCGCAAAATACGGGTATATTGAGACATACCGAGACATGTCGTAAACCGAAGCCACGTTTCAAGATCTTCACCAGAAATATAACCGGTCAAATAAGGATCAAAACAGCAATGACGAGATATATTTTCTGCAAGTGTAAAAAATAATTTAGTTTTCTATATAAAAAAACAACTAGCTTCTTTTCTAAAGCTTACCATGTGTTTTTTTCTTCAAATAGAGAGAGACATTCCAGAAGAAGAGAAGACACTCCGAATGGAACTCTTGCAAATGAAGAAGAAAGCATAAGTAGAAAATTTTCATACCATTCTTGCTTTTTTCATTCTTCGTTTTTTTTTTCATAGTTGACGGTAATGGTGTTTATTCAAAATGTGTCTTATTAATC